GGACTTGAATATGGCCGAGTGCTACTTTGTCTCGCACAAAGTGTATGTCGACTTCAACGTGCTTAGTGCGCTGGTGCTGAACTGGGTTCGATGAGAGATAGACGGCGCTGACGTTGTCGCAGAAGACAAGGGTGGCGCGTCGTAGTGGTTGCTGGAGCTCAAGAAGAAGATTTCGTACCCAAGAAGTCTCAGCAACTGCATTTGCCACAGCCCGGTATTCTGCCTCTGCACTGGAACGGGAAGTGGTGGCCTGGCGTTTTGAAGACCAGGAAAATACAGTACCCGGAAGTGGAGCGTCTGGTGTCGGGACAGCCAGCCCAATCAGCATCAGAAAGGTTAATTTCATTGATCAAATATGTGGGAGTACATGTCTATATATACATAAGAGTTCCTAATCCTATACAAGGTAGGAGTCAATAATAGGAAACAATATATTCCTAATCCTATACAAGGTAGGAGACAATAATAGGAAACAATATATTTACATTAAATATAGAATATATTTAACAAATACTCAATATTTCACCTGTGTATATTTGTATTGGACACGATATATAGTGGAAACTATACTACACATTTCAGAGTAATTAATGAAACATTCTCATCCAAAGAAACACATGACATGACTTATATGAGAAAAGAGAGACAAAATGTGTTAGTGTTCCAAAATGCTTTTGACAAAGTAAGTACCCAAAACAAACCATCCAAGAAGGAGAAACGAGAAGGAGAAAAGCGCGACGAAAAAGGGCCACCCGACCATGAAAATGCCCAAACAGACCACAAACACGAAGGGGAAAAACGACCTCACGACCGAAAACGGGTCGACCCAACGGCCCTTGACCAGAACGAGGGCCGCGACGTTGATCATGTTCCAGTTCATGGAACCCTTGTAGCACATCCTGTTCAGGCAGTTGGCTATGAAGGAGTGGCTGTTGCAGGTGAAGAGGTTGTAGGATTTGTGCTCAAAGTGGCGGATTCCCGAGTGGATCGCGTCGTCCCAGCTGATCGCCGTCCCGAACTCTGCGTGCCTGTACCGATGCACGCACGAATGGCTGGCGAGGTTCGGGGGGAAACAACACTGTTCAAAAAATTCAATTCCATCATTTTCAATGCGTGATATTCACAATATGTAGTGCACATTTTGCCTCAATTGTGTTTGTTTTTTCTCTTTATTTCATGCATTTTGCCTCAAGTGTCGAGGTTAGAGAGTTAGGAACTATGCAATTTTACGAACGGAACACCCTAGGTACTACAAAACAGTGTCACTAGAACCGTGCCGTTTTGGGAAATGCAAACCAAAGTTTGAGTTGGTATTATAAGAGGAAGAAACAAGGCCAAGAATGTGTACCTGCTCCGGGTCAAGTTGAAGGTACTTGGCCACAGCACCATAGGCAAAATCAGTGACATTGACAAAGCCAGAACCTGTGAAGTCAATCACGGCGCCATCCTCCCGGCACAGCCCAACATGGCCAATGAAAGGAGCCAACCATGACACTACTGGCAGCGGTGTCCAAACCAAACAGCAAGGGAACTTGGCGTTCTTTGGGTCTATTTCATCCAGAGGCCACGCCACGTCCTTCATCCCTTGATGGGTGCCTTTATTATTCTCCATTCTATTGCCAAACTTTGCATCCATTTGTAGAAAAAGCCTTTCTTCCCTTAGAGTGTTAAAGATGGCAATTGAAGTGTTAACTGTGTCAAAGAAATGAGGGAAAAATCAAAAGAAGCAAACAGTCTTTACTGTCTAGTTATCCCACATAGGACACCACTTATAATCCAACACAGAAGACAATGGTTGGAATGACACTGATTTGGACAAAATCCACCTGAGCCCATTACCAATTGGTCTCCAATGGATAATTGGGTCTTTAGGGGATCAAAATCATTCATTTTCAAATATTTACTTAATAATACACTTTCTGTATCTAGCAAGTATTGATTAATTGAGAATTAAAGCTCAAGACAAATTCATTTTCTTATTCTCATCACATGAATTCATGAATCAATTTAGTTTAAACCATAAAGAGGGGAAAAATCATCTTTGATTCATTAATAAGAACACCAAAAGACAACAATGCTTTCCAAGAACCTAACAATATATTAAACTACCGAATTCCAAACAATCAAAATCAAGACTTTCCTCTCTCTTTTTTTCTCACCATCTGAATTCATACCTTCC